TGTGTTTAATTAAAAATTCTACTTGATTCAGAAACTACATCTTTCTTATCCTGCCACAAAGTTCAAAAGTATAAGGACTATTAAGTTTGAAATTTCCTTTATAACTAAGTGTATTTAGTAGAACAATGTCTCATGTATTCCTTCATCAAGAATGTCTTGCATCCATCTAGTGAGTTATTCTGGGACACCTGGTGCTCAGAATTATTCACTGTTAATTAAAGCCTCAAAACTAGCAGCCTTTCATAAACTGCCTTTCACATACTGTTGGTGTGAAAAACATTTTCAATATGACTACTCCACCTTTGCTCTTTTTTTGTTTACTTATGACAGAAAGGCTGTGAATTGATAGACTAATCTCCGGCCATCACCTGCATAAATTAAGATGGACATGAATCTGACAAATACTATTTTGATAATGTGATTGAAACACACTTTTGAAATAAATAAAGTTAATACATATTTAGCCCTATAACTTTGTCATTCTTCTTCCTGTCTGTCCTGAGCAGAAACACCTTTCTAACCTCTTTCTCATGTCCTTTTTGCCCAAGGACTGAACTTCTGTAGCCCTACACCAGAGATTGACTGAATTCAAGGAGAAGTTTGGGAGATGAAACAGAAATGTTCTTCTCACATGTGAATAAATCAAAGTCCTGTTTGATAAATCATAGAAATTCCTTTCACATTACTGTTAGTATTTTGGTTGGTTCCCCCATCCCAAGTTCATTTAAGCTACACTATAGGTAAAGTGCCAGAGATACTAAATTCACTCACCCCAGAACTTCTAAGTGTAATGTATTTTTGGGCATCTGTTAAAATTATTTGCACCAGAAGCCACACAGCACTAACGTCAACCCTCCAAAATCATGTTAAGCTGAGCTGTCCTGATCAGGCAGCTTAGATTTTAAATGACCAAACTCATACTTTGTACTCAGTTCCTCAGTTAAATCCTGGCATGTCTCCCTATGGCTTTTCATTAGCTGCCTGAGATCCTATTTCTAAAGCCTTTGAATTCCTTTTAAATTCCAAACAAGACAAAGTTGGTTCCTGTATATAAAGCAATCCAAAACAAGCTTGCCAGACCTTAAATTAGGGGGGAAAAAAAAGTGCTTCAAAAAGCTACTAATGGCTTACATTTCTGGCCTACAATTTTTTAAAAAATGTATTTAGAAACTGTGGCAAGCGCTTCAGAAATCTTGAGATGCAGAGGAATGTGGTCCCAAAAAGCTCTGAAGATCATCGTATATTCAGTATTTGCTGCGCAGAATCCTCTTTGCAGACAAGCATCTGCATGATTCAAATACAACAGGATTTGAGCAAAGGGTGGAAATACAAGACTTAATAGGAAAAGGCGGCATTCTTCTCAAAGACCACAGATTAAAGATCAGTGTGAAAGAAGGGAATATTATGCTCCTAAGGTTATGTGAAGATTGCATCTGGAAGCAAAAAATGTAAGTGATATTTATCATCTGTGAATGCTTGTTCTGCAAGTCAGAAGCACATGCTCAATCCAATCTCTGATCATAATGTATATTGGTACTCTATTCTTCACCCAAAGTAAAACACAATAGTTAACTTCTGTTTCAACCCTGCTCCCCAAATCAGACAGCTGCTGAATTTTGAAACACATAGAGTTTATTCTTTAGAAAAAATAAGAAGTATTTTGACTTAAGACAAGATGACATATCACTGCTTGTAAACACAGTTCCATTATGCTGGAACTTTGTCATTCTCAAGTGATTAAAACAGAGGGATTTCTTCCTTATGTGCTATACACCAAAGACTTACTGGAAGAAAAGCTAAATGAGATGCTACAGTAAGTAAGGCAACATCTGCTAGCAAAGGCAACAAAACTAACTGTGATTATGAAGAATATGTTTGCAGGTGGACCAATGTCCTCTTTTCCTCAGGAAACAGCCCAGATTATAATTTCATTTTACTGGAAAAACATTAATTCATATTAACCTAATTATCCTGCCTATCTTCACCTATCTGAATTATCCTAAATCTCTGTTAGCAACAAGCTGAAGATAACAGTTAAGACTTTGCCAGTGTTCAGTTCAAATTTCTGCTTGTAATGAACAGCATTATTAGGATTAGCTTCCAATTTATTTCCTGGAGCACAACACTGATGAATCAAGCTTCCCATACACTGCAGGAATATATGTTGTGTGCCACAGTTCAAAATGCCATCACAGCTGCAAATGTGAGTTTAAAATATGAACTCTATGACATGTTTTTCTAATTTTTCTAATGTCTGTCAAATATATTTGTGGCAGACAATGCAGAACTTGGTACAAAAAGTGCACAAGGACTTGGAGAAAAGCTACAAAACACAGGTTCTGTTCTTCAACAACTGTAAATAGAACCAACAATATGAAGCCTAGTCAAAGTTGCATGGTAACATTTATTGCAGCTTTTACAATAGGATTTATCACCGTTTACATAGGATTTGTCACCGTTGGTAACAACGGTGCTAGCTGCAGCAATATTCAAATGGATTAAAAATACTTCAGCAAACATACACAAAGAATTGTTCCAGGTGCTTCTTGCAATGCTTTTCTAAAAAGTCTTGTGTCATGGTGCTGGTGACTCTTGCCAACACCCTCTGCAATTAGACAAATATGATCTGCTTAATATCAATACAGCCATATAGAAATCTAAATCACAGTAACTCCCAGTAAACTGCCACCTGCTAAACACTTAACACAATTTTATTGTACTTGATGGAAATATATGCTAACTCTTTTTAAACAGAAAAGTATGCTTAACTTATTCTGAAAAAGGTTGGGAAACAGTAATGGAACATAAAAGCTCAGTGAGCAGAAGCAATTAAAAAAGTATCTTGACTACATGACCACTATGCAAAACTAATATTCAGCATTCCACAGTGAATTAAAAGCAGATTGCCTTTTGTCAATGAAAACAAACCTATTCTGAAAATGAAAACAGCCACAGGATGTTTTCCTTCAAATATTTTGAAACTTAAGTTAATCAAAAGGTAAACAGTGTGGTCTGTCTTTCATGAGACTACAGAATATTGCTAGATAGAAAATCAGAATTTTGTTTATTGTATGTTTAATGACTGTGGGAAAATAAGAAATAAAATATTGGGGAATTAATGTCTGTTTAAGTACAGAAAAGATGCCTTCTTTAGCTGGGGATATGCTATGGCCAACCAAAAGTGAGCAGTGAAGTTATGATACATATTGTACATAGTCTTCTACTGCAGTGTGGTTAAAATCCTCTACAGATTTAAAAAAGCATCAGCATCCATCAATCAGCTTGATCTGAAATATAAGTTCTATTCACTAAAACCTGTGAGATTAGCAGACTTCCATTCCCTGGAAAAACAGTACCACCAGCAGAAAGTAACAGAAACAACAAGAGATCAAAACTCAAAACAACTCCATAGTTTATATATTTTCAAGAATTAAAGCTAAATTAAAGCCTATTTTAACACTTTAAGTAAATATGAGAAGCACATCATCAGTCATGACTATGAATATATAAAAAATAATGGGGTGAAAGTAAGATTAATTAAATTCCTTCAGCATTCTTTTCAATAAAATTGCCACCTTATAAAATAAAATTCCAACTGTAAACCTACAGGCTCCTTTAAAAAATAGCATCCATAATTTCATTTTGGTGCTCCTTCACTTTATGAAATCAGCATAAGCCTGAAGAATTTGAAATCTTGGCAGAAGAATTTCCTATGATTAAGTGACAAAATGTCACTGAATTTAGCATGCCTCTTCAAGAATGAAATCCCTCTCCACATGTCCTCACACACTTCACGTCTGCCCCATTTTTAATATCACAGTAACCAGTTCCTGACTGCCTCATCTTCACACTGGAAAATCCTGGTCAAATAAATTTAAAAGAAGAATGCTTTTTAGCTTCATGTCAGTGTATCTGTGATCTTTTCCTTACTCTATTCTATCACTAAGAGAAGGAAAAACAGTTAGGATGCTTCTACCCAAACACTTCTCCAGAAATACCAAATTCCTATGATATTTTCCTATTAACTCAATTCTGCTGACATAAAACATTGAAAAACTTGCTGCACACTATGCCATTAACTGAACTACATCACACATGACTGTAATATACAACAGCAGAGTTATATTATAAACTAACGATGCCATTAAAGGAGTAAATGACCCAATTCTACGTTAAAACTTACCCTGTATACAACAAACATTTCAAGTTTCAACCTTCCTCAGTGGACCACCCATAGGAATTAAGAATAAAGTGAAAAAACCCATGAAACTTCATGAATTGACATTTTTAAACTCGGAATTGCTTTCTGACATAAAAAATGTAACATGCTCTTTGAAATAGGACTACTCTCAGCCTCAGCTGCTTATTTCAATGAGTCTCTTTGCACTTCTACGTCTTCATTGAATCTCTTACAGACATCACTAGTTAGGCTGTTCATATTTGATACTGTACTATCAGCAGGCTTCAAGAGAAACATTACACTGAATGTACTCTGAAACTAATGAATCACAGGGGTGTTAGAATTCTACCTTTATTTCCAGCTAATATTTGTCCTGTTTTGTTTACACATGGGAACTTCTCTCTGCATTTAAAAGTATTGAGAGCCTTTTTCCAACTATTGCTGAAAGCTTACTTAGATTATTTATCCTAATTGAAAATTAATTTATACTAATTGAATTTATACTATATCATGTATATATACTCTAAACAAAACAAATCTAAATATAAAGACTAAGAAATCACTGCTATGCTTCCTGGTATTCTGTTCTAGTCACTCTGGACTAGCCCACCTGATAATGACAATTCATACTAGCTAGATACTAATTTTTCTGTAGCAATGTCCCAGTGGATAAACCTCCACAGAAAAGCAAGATCTACAATGAAGATACAATACAATGAACAGAACACACTGTGTCAAATCCATGTACTTGCACCCACATATGAACCTTTTCACACTCAAAAAAATCAGGGGAAGGAAAACAGAAATCAGCAAGTCTTACCTTTTTGCAGACACTTTCAAAATTAACTTCTGTCCTAAGAGCGAGTCTGGTAACTTCATCTGGTTTTATTTCCTGTAGATGAAAGATAAGTTTATTCTTGTTATGATCAGACTATAGGAAGTCTTTCTAAGGTTCACCTTCCTTATAAACATTCTAATAGTGGCACTTCCCTAATCTCTTAAAGGAAAAAAACCAGTTTGTTATATGGAGAATTTTTTTTGTGTATGTAAACACTACATTTATACTGACTGACCTTTTCAAAACACTACCTTATACCTAATCTCTTATACTAATGCTGAAGGCAACAGGGATTTTTCAACAGCAAAGTATGCAGAATGAGTGCTTTTATTTGCAGAAATATTTCAATTGCCCATATTGTTGTACTACAAATAAACTTTGGAAGGCCTTCAATTCCCGACTTATCTTCTGATGAAGTTACATCTTATCAATGTACATGAATATATAAGTTAAAACAATGAAAATGAAGCTGAGATGAAAAAAATACTATATGGTTTCTAAAGAGACTGACTAATATGCAGTTTGCATTCCTGGACTTGAGCATTTGCATTGGCATCTGAAATAGAGGAATAAAAATCCCGGACAAGTGGATTTTATTAAAAACTGAATATTTTATCAAATATGCCTCCATGACAGATTTATCGCTATTTTAAGACACATGCTTTATGTAGATTGTGTTACAAAATGCTCTATTAACCTCATCAAATGAATTAATTGAACATTATTTTCCTCCTAGGGAAGTGCAACAAAACCCCATGTTACATACCAGTAGTTTCCCAGATAGGCATTTAAAAATCATTTTAACTATTCTTATGCCAGACCCAAATAAACCCACATATTTTGAAAAGCTAAAATTCTGTACAAAGTAACTTAGTTCTTCTGATAGCTTTCATGTTCAACAACTATATTGTATTTGTAATTCTTTCTTTCCCTGCTTAAGCATTCTTGAAACCTATTCCAATACTTTCATTTTAACACCACTGTTAAGTTCCATATTCTATCCCTTTTCTGCTGTAAATCTGGAGCAGTCTGTACACTTCTTTAGACATAATTTCAGGAAGAACCAAGCAGCTTACCTTCTTATAAAAGGTTATACCTTGCATCTCAAAACCTTATGTTGTCCATCTTTTTATAGATAAGGTGCTTTGCAGACACTTGCAATTTGTCTCTTTATTTATCATGAATTGCGTATGACTTAAAACTAAACAATTATTTACAAATGGGAAAAAAGTAATAGAACTCAGTTAAATTAATAACAACAACAAAAAAATCTCTTTCTGTGAATGCCAGAAGAGCTTCCTGACAACGAGATCTAGAACTCTGCAAAATCATCTCCCAGAGGTACTAGTGGAAGCACAATCACTTAGAGGACAGGATCCACACTGGAAAAACACTGGTAGATGTAGGAAACAATCTTTTACTGGCAGATGAACAGCTGGATGACCTAATAGAGATGGAAAAGACCTATGATGCAGTTTTCCATGACTTTCCAAAGTGTTTCACAGATGGTGAAAGTAGGACACGTTGATTAAGTGACATGCTTACTGTCACATAAGAGGTTAGGGGTTATGAATGAAGCTCAGGAGCCCAATGTTATTCATTAAATCAAGCTGTTGGATTATTAAAAAAAAACCAAACAAAAACACAAAAAAAGATAATTCCTATGATCTTCATCCCAAATAAAACTGCCTACTTCCTGTCTCTTTAGGATTTAAATGCTGCAACATGGTTCAGGGCAGAGGCAGACAAACTTCAGTGATCCCTCCATGAGAATGTCAGAAGTTCAATTTTGATATGACAATACTGTAGGATTCCCAGGACATTGCAGAATCACGAACAATACTGGAGAACGAATTACACTTTGGAATGTGAAGTCATTAAAGCCACACTGAAATGCCTAGGATACAAAATGAGGCCAAGAACCTTCAATTCAGGCTTGAATCCCCAACTTTATAAATAGTCTCCTTCACTTCTCCTAGACTTAAGGCAAATTAAGCATTTTTGACATAAATATTCTTCCACAGAACCTTGGTTTTGTAAACATATTCACATGAGTCAAGTTACTGTAATAAATACATATTTATTCTGTTTCTATTAATTGTCAGCAACAGACAATAAAATACAAAAAAAGAGATAGTGGTATTTTTACCAGTACAGTTTTCTCAACTTTGAGGTGCACCTGAGTAACAAGAAAAATCTTAGTATTGATTATCTGTTATGGAACCATCTTTCCAATGATGCTAAGGAATGTTATAAATTAATGCCCTCTCCAGCATCTCTGAGGTCAGTCCAGGGATTCCTCCTGTCCTGATGATGCAGCCCAGCCCTATGTGTCCAGAGATCCACAGGTGTCTGTCCCAGGTCCAAAGATGTAGGAGTTGCTTTCTTATTGACAGGTTCAACCAGTAGTGAAACTCAGTTTTGCAGCATGTAGCACTTTAATGAGTGCTTTCATGTTTACTAACATGAACTTTGTAGAGCTAGCCAAGACCTCTTCCTTCTTTTCTGATCTGAAGTTCATTATTGAGAGCATGTCATCTCCCACCCCCTCAAAATGCACAAATAAATGAGCCAAAGAGACATACACGCGGGGTCAAAGCACATGAATATTAGACAGTCTGCCTGTACTATCAGCAGTAGCACAGGCACACAGGCTGTGACCAGCAGCCCAATCCAGATGTGCCAAGAGCCTCACTGGTCTGACTCATCCCAGTCTCACCTGTAGATGCACATAGGACACACACTGCCTGTCCTCCCTGACAGTGCATATGCTGTAACGGCCCCTATGCCTGGAGCTGAGACCCCCACCCACTGCTGCTGACAACACAGGTTTGGGGCACCTACACTCCTGCCCTGACTCCTGTTGCTTGCCCCATGCCCTCAGCAGCTGGCACCTAGTCCTTACAGCACTTGCAGGCAGGGGACAAAGAGGTGAAATTACAAACAGGTAAGAAAATAAAAAAATGTCAAGATGACACTGGGAACAGGTGGAAAAGGCATAGCAGAGGTAGGACCAGCCTGACTCAATTTTTCGAACAGTGCGGGGACTGATGCTCCTCCAGTCATTCACTGCCCAGGCAGCTGCTCCAGTGGGTAGTGGAGCAATGTCAGGAGAACTGACCTGTCAGCCAGCTGGATCCTGGCTGCAGGCAGATGACCAGGCCTTGCCCTGAGATTAAGATGAATAAGCAGGATGTGAAGAACTACTGGACATAAGAAGACTGCTAGATGTGACAGACAAGGCAAGAAGCTACAGTGGCTGTACAGATCATTAGGGTGGAGCTACACAAAAACCAGACAAGCTCCATGGAAAGGTAGAATACAGGGCAGACTTCAGGGGTGGGTATCTTGCAAGGTACTAAAGTAACTTAATTATTAATAGCATATGAAGGCAATATTGCATACAAAGTTATGGTGAAACACCAAATCTGTGGAAAAAGTAAGTATGGGTGGGCAAAGACTGGCCTGGCCTGCAAAAACTGAGCCCTGGGGCACAGGAAGGGGTAGTTGTAGGGCAGGCAATCATCTCTGAAGAGAGTACTGGAGGCAGCAAGCTCACACCAATACTTACAGAAACTTAGAATAGTAATTTTGAGAGATTTTCTTTTTTAATAAACCATAACTGTCTTACACAGAAAGACAAGGCTATATTGAAGAGAAGTATGTCATGCGTAAATAGTATGTGAAAAGAGGATTTCATGTTTATATTGATTGTGGCTGTTCAGATGACACTTTATCCAAGTGATACTGAGTAAGATAGAGGTTCTAACCTAAACGGCATGGAAACATAACTTATTGAACAGCTTCTGGAAGACAGAAGAATCAAAAAAACTTGCTGTCAAATGAGGCTTCAACACATCTCAGAAATGCAAGATTTTTTCATACAAGATGTATTCCCAGCTATGCTGCCTCAGGCAGTTTTAGACGACTCAGAAAAAAAACCCCAGTCTGCCAGCGGCCTGTGGAAGCAATTTAAGAGTCCTCAGACTACTAAAAACAACACAATTTCAAATTTGTTTTGACTAGTATTTTTTGTTTACCTTTATCATAAAATCCACTACTTATCATTATTTTTTCACATTTTCTTAGTTGTGCAAGTTTCAAGTCCTTCCATATGAAAAGATGATTTTCATCTTAAAATGTTGAAACTTCTATAAAAAATAAATAATCAAGATATATAGAAATAGAAACAGAACACCCTTACCAAAAGTCATATTTCTGGTGAAATCTCAGCTATAGTTTCCCACTCATTTAATACACTTTCAGTTTTAAAACATAATCATAATCTTTACTCTCAAACCTGTGTTTGAGACTACTTCCTCACAAAATTTCTTATAATTTTTCCAGAACATTCAGTCTGGTTTTGCTACTTTCTGTCATTTTGCTAGGTTGCTTAGTGAGGAGAAAGGTATAAGAGACAAAAATTCCAGAACACTTTTTCAACTTTTTTCCCCCTACAATTTAATCCTTGTATGTCTTCTGGTTCTACTTGCTCCCCTAAATCTTTAGAAGTTCAGTATTTTAGCCATTCAGAACAAAAGTAGTCTTAGACTTATCAGTAAGTATTACTTGTGAAAATAAACAAAAATGGGATCTCTTCAAAGTAGTGAAATAAATCAGCCATATCTTATCTGAAAACTTATCCAGCTTCCAAAAAGAAACTAAATCCATTATAAGAGCACAATTTTTTTTTAAGTTACAAAGGAATGTTTTCCAGAAATGCAGTGCAGTGATTATTACCAAACTGATTATGAAGCAAAAGAATACCTTCTTCCACTAGCATTTTACAAATCCAAATTCCTTGTCAGTACCTGTGACCTAAATACACACACAAGAATTTTCAGTGTCAATCACATTAGTGACTGACCACCACACCAAAGTAAATGGCCTATATAAAAAAAAAATAAATAAATCCCAAACGTCTATCACCTCAAGTCCCCATTTTACTAGATGCACAACCAATGTGGAAAGTACTACCAGAATAAGAATTTGGATAAAACAAACAGAATAAAAAAATTTTATCTGGTAAGTAAAATATGACATTGTCTATTTAA